TGCCACATCTGCCTTTCTGTCCTTGACACGTAGTGGTAACTGGGGTAGGCCGTGGACGTCACAAGACATTATACAGACAGGCTCTGGTATCATGGCTACCCAGCAACGGAGCTCAAAAGTGTGGGATCATTTTAAGAAAATCAAAGAGAAACCTGTGCAATATCTGCAGAGCAGAACTTACCTTCCACAACAATTATTTTTAGTTAGCATGTAGCTAAAATCTAACGATGGTTATATAATAGCAGCTGCATTCTGACGTGATAAGCTGTATGTTTTATATTCAATTAACGTATGATCTGATTAGTCGACTAATCGAATAAATAATCGGTTATTAATGGATTATTAAAATAATCGTTTGTGGCAGCCCTAATTGTGATAACACTGACCACTTAATTGCAATTTATTATCTATAATGGAGCAGCTCCACCAGCACATACCTTAAATCCATAGAGATCTTATTGATCAGAACAAAAAATGATTTAAAAAGAAGCTTAAAAGTGCTTTAAGCTCACTGATGGGATGTTACATTAAATATTTGTAAGACATTAAATGAATGAATGAATGAATGAATGAATGAATGAATGAATGAATGAATGAATGAATGGCCTGGCAGAAAACTACAAAAATCCCTCTTAAATCGTTAATTCTGTTAAATAATATGCACTCACCTGGAGAAGTTGGGGATCCTGCAGAGGTAGGAGGAGGGGTACCGGGTGGAGATCCCTTGACAGGTGTGGCCTCAGAAGACATGATGGAGGAGGCGGAGTCAAAGGGTCAAAAGGTCTGAGGTCAGTTTGAAGTTGCAGCTAAGTGACAGCTGCAAGGACAAGAGGGTGACTTTAAATTTGTGACAMACAAACACTCACCCCCACAGTCAGAACTGCCAAAACAAGCTGGATTTTCAGACTGAGCCGAGTAACTTTTATAGAACCGGTTTGTTTTTGTCCCTTGGTAAACATCTGGTCACTTCCTGGTGCATTATGCCCCCACCCCCACCCCTGAATGTCTCCCAGAAAAACAAACTAAGACAGAAACAGTGACCAGCTGGTGGCATGGGACCGCAACAACAATTTGAGAACTGTCCGATGCTGCTGTGACCCGACCGAGAACGGACCTGTTATTCAACTTCGGACTGACATCATCCTTCGTCAAACACCAGTTAGAGGAGCAGAGAGAAGAAACGCTTCTGTCGGCCAATCATGAACAAACAGAATGAAAGAATATAATTACTGAGGAAGCAGGAAGAGTTCAGTTCTCTACTGGATTTCAAATGCTAATAATTAAAACAGATTAYTCATTAAAAGATGGGACTTATTGCAAGTGTTTCTAATAAAACATAATTATTAGATCTCATGGCTAATTAAGAGCGCTCTCAAAGCAGAACATTCAATGTTTAAAAAAAGTCAATATTTTAAGTCCAATATTTTTTATATAACGTTACACTTTTTATACATTTTCAGTCTTTTGTCTTCTTTAAGGTGGCACCATGGCTCGGTTCGTAGAGCTGTTCCCTCTCAGCAAGAAGGTTGCTGGATCAAATCCCGGCTGGGGACCTTTCTGGGTAGAGTGTGCGCATTCTCCCTGTGCATGTGTGGGTTTTCTCCAAGTACTCCTCCCACAGACCAAAAGCATGAATGTTAGGTTAAGTGGTAACTCTGAACAGTGCCTACGTGTGAGTAAATGGACGTTTGTCTCTATGTGGACCTGTGATGGACTGGAGACCTGTTCCAGGTGTACTCTGGATACGGGCACATGATGTGACCCTGAAAGAAAGAAGTGGGTGAAGATAATGGATGGATGGATGGATGGATGGATGGATGGATGGATGGATGGATGTCTTCTTTAACTCCGTCTCTCACTGCTATAGGACTGTTTTTGTCTCTAATCTTTGCAGAGTACACTAGAGGCTGAGGTCATAATGATTTCTGATCCATCTCCATGTAGACATCAACGATTCTAAAACGTGAAAGACGGATTATTGGTTAACGGCTTGTTGAGAAACAAAAACCTGGAACTCTGCAGCACCTAGACTGTTGTGTACCTATTGCTTTCTAAAATAAAGAAAAGGTTGGTGGTAGCTACTAACTACCATTGCTACTGCACTGTTTTGCTCTCTTCTGAGCAATGGTAGAGTATGATCATCAAAGCCATTCCTTTCCTCTATAAGGGGACCTAAAACAAAGTGGTGAAAACACTGAAGAAAACAGGTCAGATTGCTTTAACACATGATGCATGAATCCTTTGTTGCAGAGTCTTCCGTTACTGTACTCAGCATTTTGATTCATTTTGTTCATCTCGTGCCAAAACCCTGCTTGAATGAAAGTTGTTTTATACTGCAGTGTAGAGCAAATTGTTTGTTCTTTTGTGTCTGATAAACTCTATGCACCGGGTTTTGTTTGAAGTGGGCTTTTAGGTACGGTACATCAGTTATACTGTAACTGTTTCCATCTGAATACTAAATAAATCAAATCTTCATTGATATGAGCACAGAATTCTCTTCTAAACTTATGGGTCTTTTTAATTTCTCATATCTCATTTGTATATATAAAATACTTTGGACACAAAAACTGACGTGAGGACCACGGGCTTCTGTCACGTACAGTTCAGGATTTTCTTCTCCAGTTTGCAGTGACTTTTTGAGGCTCACTCTCTAGTCTGTCTGATTAAGAGTGCTGTTGGGGAGTGAGAGGTAGGTGTGTGGTTTCTGTGGTGACCCCTTTAAGCCACTGGTAGCAGCCTTAACATTTATCTTATTTATCTTTAGTTCTTGAACAGATCAGCATTTGTCAGCTTAGAGTATTGCAAAAGGAAATCCTAAATTATTACTGGGCTTTCAAGAAGAAAGTTGATGTTTGTTGAAATTTAAAAAAGGCAGTGCCTTCAAAATTTTATCCAGATTTGTTTGGTAATTTTCATATTCTTTGTTTTATTTAGGATTTAAAGAACCATCATGTTCTCTCAACGTTGTGCAGCTGATGTCATCAATGATGTATTTCTTAGGAAAGCACCGATACAGATAAGTACTCATATCGGTGAGTACCCAAACTGAAGTAGTTGGTTTGAGAAAAACTGGTATCAGTGCATCCCTAGTATTTGTATTCAAATCAAATCAATCCATTTGTTACTGAAAAACTTTGGGCCAATTGCTTTTATTGCCTGTGGCATAAACAAAATACTTGAATTTTATTTAAATTTTTATTTTAATGCGCAGGAGCAGGGATGGGGATTGCGTCCCCATTGGTGCACGCCCCCTTGCGACACGTCAGCTATAAACCAAGCTTCACTGGGAATGTATCCTACATTCCCCAGCTTTCCTTGTCATGAAAAGCTTCTGGAAAACTCCAGTAATTTACCAGAAATTTTCCACCCCTTTCCAACCCAAGGGAGGAGCCAAATGCATTGCTATTCACTGTTGCCAACTCTTCAGTAAGAAAAGTCACTACTGGCTTCTTAAAAGCTGGCTAGAAAACATCACCTAATTTGCATATCTGGACATTTAACAATAATTGTGATCTAGGCTTTAGAAGAGATGTACTATATACCAACATTAAAGAGAAAATTGCGAGGAAAAAACACTTAGAACTACAAATGAACTTTAAYAACCGATTTTTTGACTTTAATGGTTTGCTTAGATGTCACATATCCCTCAGGGTGACAAGGTAAAGAAGTGACTGAGGCTGTGCAGAGACAGTGTCAGTAAGAAAAACAAAAATATTACAGTAAAAAAATTACATCCCACCAGGGTAGGAGCAGCAGCGTGTTTGCAGCTGTCTCCTCTCGGCTGACTGGAAACTCGTTACATTTAGCGACCAAATTAAGTTAGCAACACTGTTTCTATTCAATTCGTAACCAATTGTACATCAAAAAAGTTCAAATTGTCTTTTTACAAACAGCATTTAAAATGAACGCACCGTATGAGTGTGTAAAAGAGCTTTGCAGAACAAAAAAGTGGTTAAAAACAACATATACAGGATGGACCATTTACCATCCAGTTAGCATTAATTGGCAGAGGGAGCCTAAAAGCACTTTCCAGTCAGAAGAACCAGAGAGAAGGGTCTGATCGGTGTTAACTCAATAAACATCAAGCTAATGTTATCGATGCATCTCTGCTTYTTCATGTTTACTGCATCACTCGATATGATTTTCTGCTGTGTCCAACTTCAACAAACGTCCATCTAATTTAGCTCAACACAACTAAAATGACTTTGTATAAAAACAAACAGAGGATGCATTTTTTTGAGAACAGGGAGGGACAAGAATATGAGGCAGGGACACAGCAGATAAACAACTACTGATAACCTACTGATAACAACGACAGAGGGCAGGAAAACATGCTTGTGTGTCTGTCTTTACGTTTGTCGGTTTTGAAGGCAAGAGAAGATTTTCTTTACTGCTACTTCTTTACAACATTCTTTAAGCTCCTGTTTTCAAGCTACTTTCAATTCATCCTGAATTATGTGATCACCTCAGAAAGAAGCCTAACTTTTCAGTTTTGGTTTTAAACCTGAAGCGATTGGTTTTTTTGTGCAGAACGTTTCAGCAATCTAAAGAACTCAGTTGTATCTAAATTAGTAATGTAAAAAGACTGAGCTGCTTATTGTCAATTATAAAACAAACTCAATAAACATAATGCCCATTAAAGGMTTTTTATGACCTTATGGTAATTATCATACACCCCCAAGAAGAGCYATTTGATTATGAAAAAAAAAACAGTTGTAAAATAACTAAGTACAAATACTTTGTTACTGTAATTTTGTTACTGTAATTTTTTTAGGTATCTGTACTCTACTTGAGTAATTATTTTTCAGCCTACTTTTTACTTCTACTCCTTACATTTGAAAAAAACGGCAAGTTGAATGTCGTTACTTTTATTTCATTTTTGCTTGTTTACATTCCAGCTTGTTTTTGTAAAAAATAAATACTATCCATATAAATTGTGCCTCCTAGATAGAGTGAATTTATTTTTGGTTGAATGAGAACTACAAATATATAAAATTCTGATACCGTATTAGTTTGTACACAAATAAGTCATGCAGCAGCAGGATATAATCATTCAAATAAAAGGCCTGTACTTAAGAAGTATTTTTATTTCATGAATTATATTATTGTATTTGGCCGCAGCCCTCAGATAGATTTTCATTTTGGGGAAAAGGTTTGTGCAGCCTTGATAAATGTATATAAACTGAAACAGTTAGTTCATCCTAAATTTAACATAAATTAATTATTTTAATATGACAGTCATTTCTGCAGTTTTTGGGGGAGGTCACCTCCTAATAAATGTCCTTACAGAAAATCTAACTGCTCATTTTAAATCAATACTTTTACATGTAATACTTAAGTACAAAAAATATCAGATAAAACTTTTATTCAAGTAATATTCCTAAAAGAGACTTTAACTTTTACCAAAGTAATTTTTTGGTAAGATACTTGTACTTTTACTCAAGTATCACTTTGTGGTACTTTAAACAACACTGAAAACAAGGCAACATAATGAATGCCCTCACACTGTAGGGAAGTTTTCTACCTTTGCTATGATCCAACCATGTCCTCATAGGTTGTRTAAAGCATGGCAGGCTCATCATCCAGAATGATGGATGCTACCAACACTTATTTCTTTACTTTAACTGTTTGTATCACATACTTTGTTGTTTTGTTCTCTTGAATCTTTCCTTGTGCATAGAGCTCTATTTTAACCATCAGATGTAACTGGCAAAAATAACTACTGTGGTTGCAAGTGTGAGACAAGGTGTTATAATGAGCAAAGAGTTGATAAGAATTTCTAGAGAAGTTCTACGCTCCATATTACTCCTTCATAAG